CCCAATACGTATCTGTTGCCTTAGATCTTTGTATCTGTGTTTCTCTATCTCATTCTCTTTCAGTCTCCGTCTTTCTCTCCTCTGATACAATTTCCCCTAGGTTGCCCACCAGAATATGTTAGCATTTAAAACTGAACAAATTGTTGTTGGTAGCTATGGCATAACCTGGTACCTACGTCCAGAGGTACAGATGCGTCCGCTTAACTAAATGAATCGACATCGGCTTGCTTCGCTGTGGAGAGTATACATTCCCATTCTGGGGGTATTGCAAGAGCATAGAAGGGATGAAATAAAGTTTTGGAACTACTTGTAGAAAGTTAATTAAATTGAGATATTGATGCAATTGAAATAAGCTTGCCAGAAAAAATTCCAATTCAAGATTGGTCGGAGCCCTGAAGAGAGTTTAACACAAAAATCCCAAATTAGTCTTGAATCTCAACAAAATGAGGGTAATCAGCACCAGACAGAATTATCATTGTTGGTGTACCCGTCGGGGTTGGCAGATCCTTTTGGTCCACCTGTAGGCAGTAGGAGTGAAGCTTCAGAGGCGTGGGGACGCCACGCTGAAAGCTTTTTCATTGTAACAACTAAGAAGGCTGGGGTCCCAATTAAAGGCCTGAAATGTTTCAACCCTAATTTGACGCTTGATATCTCCAGACGAGTCCTGAGACCTAATCAAAAGATACGATTTAAGTGGAGTTTCGAGATGCCCTTAGGTCACAGGGCAAATGTGCATTTTAAGGAAGGCCAGGCTTTTTGTCATATTATATTCTTTGGTGGGATTCTCGATGAAGCAAACGTATTTTTGCTATAACAATCGACTAAGTTACTTAATTTTCGTATGTAAGTAAAGCTTCAAGATTACCAGTAAATCAGTAATATGAGATGTATTCACATCTGCCAAGTGACCCAAGGGCTTTCGTGGCAATTTGGCCGAATGGTTAACGTGTCAAGCTCCCATTCTGCACTGTCACGGTTCGACTCCTCCCGATGCGAGGTCGAAACTGCAGTCCACTGGTGCCTGGATGAGAACACCTTTTGGGAAAGCAAGGCTATG